TCAGGAGAGGTCGTCCCAACAGACTTGATGGCATTAGTCTTCACATCACTTGCCATTTTACAAATGTTTCCAGATGAAAGTTCACTTTTCACCAATTTTCCATCCCCACCTAATTCACTGGATTGAAATGACGAGGAATTTGGTAAAGGAGGAGGTGGTGAAGGGGACTGGCTCTTCAAAATTATCTCATCAGTTTTTTCTTGATTGAGCTTGTTCAGGACAAGCACATTATCTAACTCAGTGGCCATCTGCTGTTGCTCGGTCAAATCATGATACACCAGTGTTGCCCCCACTATTAAAATGGACTGGTCATCAGAATTGTTCTGTTGCCCTGACATTAGTGGAGACAACAGACAGCATGATGTACAGCATAATTCTCTTCTAGACCGTCCAACTGATTAAAAAAAAATAAAGAGAACGTGGCAACAATAAGAAGAACATGTCAATTATCAGCATATTCTGTTTCAACAAACACTCACACCACTAGCACCATGCGCGTCATCATCATCACAATCATCCTTTATATAAACACCCAACATCATCATTATTATCATCATTATCCACGCCAATCATAGGTATCTAACATTTCTTGGCTCGAAGGCTACCAGAATCTTCGATATTCAATGCATCCAGAATGGCTCCGTCATTGGGATTTAGATAAAATTCTGAATATTTCTGCAATTTTATTACATAAACTAATGGTAGACATTCAGTAGATTTTCAAATAAAAAAAATTAATAACGTAATCAAATATAATAAAACAAGATATCATTTTTGTGATCACCATCTTAATCATCATCGTCGTCGTCGTCACCATCATCTTTGCCATCATCAAAATCGTCCTCAGAACAAACCCTGAGAAATGTATCAGTGCTCCAGATGATGACATGGCCACTCTCCGTCATGGTAGCCATCAGTTTGTCGGATGTAGTTTGGCTAATTGTGGATATCTATTTTGGGATGCATGGAATAAAAATGGGATCGGTGTGATGCAGGCAGTGGAATAATTAACGAGATGTTAAAAATTAGGATTCAAGATATGGAACAATGAATACAAACTTGAATGTTTTATGCAAGAACAAGCCATAAACATAAAAAAAATTAGCGGAAACATTCTAATAAGATGACCAAATAAGTATTGAAGATAATAATAATTAATGACGACCTTAGGAAAGTATGGGAGGGGAAATTTATTTAAAAATTGTAGAAACTTCCAACTTGAATGAAGAGATGAACAAAGCATAGCATAGGTGATTTTAAATATAAAAATTAATTATAAAAATATAACGTAAATTTGAAGAAAAAAAAATTAAACCTATATAATACTTTGCAGGCAGAAATTAAAACAATGACAAGGAACAGATAATTAAAGAATGATATTCATTATTAAGAAATAAATTAATTTTAAATGAAAAAATGCTTGATTTTTAAATCATTTGAATGTTTTAATCAAAAAATTGAAGTATATATTAAATAAATTAATGAAGATCATAAGAAGAATGGAATCAAACTCACAGGTTCCCTGGTTGAATGTATCTTAGCAGGTTCAGTAGCATGAGTGGCTGGTTTTAGTGAAAAAAATTTATGATTAAGCATGAATATAAATCATACATCTCTTTAAGCAATTACTCAGTAGCAGTGTACATGGATTAACAAAACAATCAATCAGAACAACTAATCAACTGGAAGAACTAACTAAACTAACCAGCTATAGGGACATTATTGGTGTACTCTCCCTGAATGAAGGGGCATGCTGGAGAATGCCTCTCATGTTCTGACCTATAAAAAAATTAAATTCTTAAATCAATTAAATCAAATTAATGGAAAAAAATTCAATACCAAATAATAACATTTCAAACCATTAACATAAATAACACCATACATACATTCATTCAATTGTCAAACTTTATGTCGGCCAATTCACGACCCAGTACAATAACTAACCAAGGCTCGTCGGTCGCCTCCCAGTAGACTAAACAAACGTTGCAAGTGAAGCACATTGCCCGATCGTCACCGTTCATGCCTGGCGTGTTTGGATGGAAATAAAAACCAGCCTGGGACATGGGAATCGGTAGCGCCCACCTACAAGGGAGAGCCACAAAATTTTAAACAAATAATTAAAGAAAAAGAATCACATTAACGCACACAAAACAAAATCCAATAATCCCAAGTAAGAAGCAGAAAAACTGGACAAACTTGTAATTTAAATGAGGCCAGTTAACAAATGTCTCCCTGCGAGCACATTCATTATGCATGAGAATTCGGTCTTTTGCCTCATTGTCGGCCAGTGGTTTCAAAAATTCACAATTTTGCTGGAGCAATGAAAGTTGGTCTATAAGACTGGACAAGACAATGTATCCCGGCTGTTTTGGCATCTGCTGCCTCACTTCCAACATGAGTGAAGTTAGAGATTTTTGTAATATAAAATGACTGTTCTTCAATGATACTGTAGCCCACTGAAAATAAATAAATAACAACAATTGTTAATGTCATGTAACATTAAATATGCTCAACTATTCAGTGTGGATAGAGACCACAACCAAAACAAGATAACTAGATCTATTACAAATTAGAATCAATGGAAATATAAGCTAGCTCTGACAAGTTTTTCCATTCAATTTACATTGGGTTCAACTCCAGTTTGTAGTCAAATCTTCTTCAAACATTCCACCCATCAACTTAACAGCAGTCTTTTAACAAATTGTTAACTACTTATAAATTACCTTAGTATAAACTAACTAACTAACTAACTCATCATTAACCTCCTATTTATTTTAAGTACTCTCTTATATAAACTCACATTTGAATGTTGCAGCCTAAATTATTAACAGTATTAGCTTAAACATTGGTGTAGAGCCCACCCTTCATGTCTCTTCATCAATGTATGATGCTTGCTCCAACAAGCTTTCTTAAATAACTCTTCATTTCCTATCCCAATGAAATACAACACCAGGTTGAATGCAACTTATTAACACAGTGTATTAGTGAACAATTTGAAAAAAATTATCTACAGATCACATGTGAGATAAAATTAGCATAGAACTTGTATAAAAGATATATTAATTCTTAATGCAATGTGACAATAATTATGGGATCCAGAGATGATATAGAATGCATAAAGAAGGAAGTAACTTCACATTATAAAAAGCTTGAATTTGTCATTTTAAAATGTTAAAGAAATTACAAAATTAAAAAACATGATTATAAAAATTGTATTAAATATATTCACATGTTGACATTTGCAAAAGTTGTCATATCCCTCTGACATAAAAACAAAAAAATATTCTGCAATGTTTTAAACAAATAAGTGGATAAAGTTAACTTCTTTACCTTGAAAAATAATCAACCATTACAAAACAGTTCAAATATTTTATAAACATAAAAATACTTTTGCAAGTTTGTTATTCAATTTGCTGTCTTCCTTGGCCAACTTGATTCCATGCTCCAGGTCCTTCAAAACCTCAGCCAACTGATCATCTTCTGTGCAATCTTCACTTACATATGACGAGTCTCTCAAATTAATGGCCTATTTCAAAAAAATAAACCTCATATGACAGTAACTGTATGAAAACACAAAACAAAAATAAAAATTGTTTCAGAACACAAAATTTTAAATAACATCAAAAAGCATTAGCAACAAAAAAAATTTAGCAATTCTAATTTTGCCATAAATTATAAAAATACTATCAATACAAGAAGGAAAAAAATCAATGTAATAAGAAAAATGTCTAACATCAATGAGTGACATCTCAAGGATGACTGGGTCATCAGGCTGTTGAACATGAGTCTGAAAGGTGTTCTCAAGCAGCAATATGCCATTCAAATCTTTCCTTGTTGACAATGTTCCACCACTAACCAGCACCAAACGATCGATGTTTGCTAGGTAACTCACTTTTATATCTTCACATTTAGCTGTAATTATGTTTATTGAACAACAAAAATCTCAGTTGTAATTAAACAGAATCAGAACCATAAATTGATAATTTTAAAATGTTGAAAAATGTATAAAATAATCTGCCAACCGCTTAATTTGATGGTCTTGCATATTATACCCGTGGTTGGATCAACTACCAGAACTTTGGAATCGCCAGTGAACACAAGAAATACATTGAGCTCAGGGTGGTATATGACATTTTTCACTGATTCTGACAGTTCAAAGCCTGATTCTTCTGCAAATGACCAGTTGTAACTTCCGGCCATGTTTGCTTATTTTTCTTTTTCCGGAATTACAAACAGGCTTTTCCTGATGACTACACTTAGACGTAATAGAAATATACCAAATTTAACAAGAACACTAAAATAGTCATAAAAAAATTATTAGGATGTTACAAAATTACTCATATTTGAGAATTATCTACGCCAATTTTAAAGATTTGGTTTAGTAGAGAAAACGCAAGCAGTAGTAAAAAGTTAAAAAAAATCTCTCAATCAATTCAATAGTAAACAAAAACGGAAAATATTAAAAAAAATTGTGAAATACCGGACGTCAGAAGAAACAAAGCGTGAAATAAACAACGCAAAAAAGTGTCAATGAACGTGGAAAAATTTACATATCGCTAATTTGAGACATTTATTGCAAAAAATACAATGTTACGATTGTCTTCAGAAATATTATATCGATAACGTGAGAATTTACTTCGAAACAAGGAATCTAAATGATGATGCGCACCACTATTTCATCCTCAGTCCATAAAAGTCCAAAAAGTCAACCACTTTTCAATGAATGTAAACCAAACATAAGGACGAATAAACTTGATTATCTTATATTTATTGATGCTGTATATAGTGGAAAATAGTCAACGAGAGATGCATGATCGCGTTGAGCAGCGCATTAAAATCTCGATCGTTGAGTCGTAAGCATCGAGATGATTGAATGATACTGATGTGCACAATTAAGTTTATTTAACAAGATAGTATCAGGTTTTTTGAGTCAAATAAAACAGAAATACGTACACGACTTTATTATTAAATGAACAAAACAATCACTGATTTAAAGAAATTCATTTAGTAACTTCAATTTGCAAATTTGTAGTATCAGGAGATGACAATATACTGGTTTCATTACTGCTATCATCTACAGTTTCGATATTGTCGTCTTCAGTTGTATCAATCTCGCTATAAAATAAATACAAAATAATAATTTAAAAACGCCAGTTAAAGAGCCAAGGAAAAGAATTATATATATATATAATATATATATATATAATATATATATATATATATATATATATATATATATATATATATATTATATAACAGTAATGCAAATAAAATTGATAACCGTTCAGGAGGTCTGACATAGAAGGGAAGTTTTCCTCTTTGCCAATCATTTAGCACCATCCTTGCTACAGTACCCGTGTCTGCCTGACCAGCCTGTAGAAGATCAGAGACATTGTAAATAGTTAGTATTAATATAAAATATATAAGCTATGAATCATTTTAAAATGAATAACTTCTTTTAATTTGAGTACATCAATGAAAAACACTTATAAAAATCTTAATATATGATATGAAATTAAAAAATTTACTTTCAACAGTCGACCAGCTTTGATGGCAAGTTTCTCCAAGAAATCTTCATGATCATTATAGTCATCAACACCATAAGTTTTCAAAACAGCCTCTTTCCTAATTCTTTCCAGAACAGTTGGTATATAGTCTTCAGGATCTTTTATATTTTCCACTCTCACCTGAGTTTCAAGAAGGAATTTTCTGATGTTTGTTTGTAAGTTGATTGAAATGTTTAAATAAGCGGATGACTAACAACTCCTTTCAGCACTTTATCAACTTCTGTGTTGCCAACAGGGTATATGACACCTGGACAATCAATCAGGTAAATCTTTTTTGTTAGCGTCACATACTGCCACACCTGAAAAATAAAAAGCACCTTTTCATCACTTTTATATGCCAATCCCAGTTATAAATGAATAATTCAATGAAACATAAATCACTATTAACATAGAGGCAAGACGTTTTGAACCTACCTTGGTCTCACCAGCAATTGGAGCTACATTACACACTGATTTCTTCCTCAATGTATTTATAACAGAACTCTTTCCAACGTTAGGGTAACCAATGAAACCCACGCTTATCTGCTTTTTGTCCTTGTGCAACTAAAAACATTTAAAAACATGCAAAGCATCATCCACTTTATCACTAATTTTTCCATCAAAAATAACAAGCACACAAACATATAAAAACATTAATGCATACAAGTACATAGAAACATACAATAGTGAACTGCCTGAGCAACTGTATTAGAGGTTGTCTGCCAAACGAATTCGTTATGTTGGCTTTGAATGCCATTGTTGGAATTTCTCGTGATAACACCGCAACCCATTTTTTCTATAAAAAATATTGTTATGTAGTGAATTTTTAATTGTTTTAATAAAAAAATAATAGAAGTTATGTATAAATGAAACAAAAATCGAAATACAAAAATCTCAAAAAAATTTTCTAAATCAGTCTAGAAAATAACTTTATAAAAAACATAGCTTTCACAGGCTTTTCTCAAAACTCTTAATAAATGAATGAGTTAAGCATGTATGTATGTATGTATGTATGTATGTATGTATGTATGTATGTATGTATGTATGTATGTATGTATATATGTACATATGTGTGTACAAACAAAAGAGATACCAACTGCAACCCAGGTTGGAACAAGATCGCATTTGTTCAAGATTAGTATGACGTGTTTGTGAGGCTTCTCTTTCCTAAGGAACTCTTCAATCTGTTTTGATCGGGTACCTTCTGGATCCCTGGCATCCAGGATCTGAGCTATGACATCAGATGAGTCAATGACCTAAAAACATATATATATATATATATATATATATGTGTGTGTGTGTGTGTGTGTGTGTGTGTGTGTGTGTGTGTGTGTGTGTGTGTGTGTGTGTGTGTGTGTTGGAAGAAAACGAAACTAATTACAACCATACCAGTAAATTACAAAAAATAATTTTACCAATAAGAAATAATTATAATAATAAATATAATTAATATAAATTATAGTGAACATTTTAAGAAAAAATTCATTTGAAATTTTTATCAGGACTTTTTACCATAAACAGAATAATGATGCCTTTTAAAAAATAAAGAAAAACGAGTAAAATATTGATACTCACCTTATAGAGCTCACCCCAAACTCTCCTTGACTGTCCTGCTTTGAATATGAGTTCAGAGGGCTCATCTTTCACTCCCATGTTGTCCACAACAAGGTTCACATCCTTTTCTTTGTCATACTTACCTGATGATGCTTCAGCTAATTCTGCTAAACTCTGGTCCGTTGAGAAAAAGCAACAAAAGTTGAAAAAGTACATTTTTAAAAAAGAAATGAATTTACAATAAAATTACAATAAAGTTATTTATTGGTATATTAGCATGACCTTATGATGATCATTGTAACACATGGAAATGGAACTCTATTAATGTTATTATAAACCTGTCATTGTCTTACAGCCAGCAAATGAAACATTCCAATTACAACACAAGTCATGCATAATCTTACATTGACATCAGATGCAGCAAACTTGGGTCGTTTGCGTTGGGCCTTGCTGCCAAATGTTGACTCAAAGCTTTCAGTATCCAATATGTGCACTCTTTTGTTCTGATTCATTTATTCATTTGATAAATTAGAATTCAATTGGTTACATTATTTTAACTCTGTTTAGTGGGAAATGTGGAAACAATTTAAAAATTGGATAATAAAAATAATTAAGAACACTGAAACAATCTTAGTAAGGTAGAATGTAATGGGTAGTAAAATTATGACTTAACAGTAAATTAAAGGTGGAAGGCACGTTCAAATGTAAGAAATGTGTTCATGGTGTGATTAATAGGACGGACGCAAGGACGGGTTGAGTGATGGTATTGAAAGAGTGGAAAGCTTTGTTTACTTAGGGGATAAGCTGAATGCGGATGGAGGATGTTTGAGCGCAGTTACGGCTAGAGTTCGTGTGGAATGGATGAAATTTAGGGAACTGGGTGGGGTATTGTGTGGAAAGAAATGGTCAGTGAAGATGAAAGGGAGGGTATATAAAGCATGTGTGAGAGCAGCGATGATATATGGTGGTGAAACTTGGGTGTTGAGGAGAGAGGAGGAAAGTGTACTGCAGAGGGCTGAAAGAGCTATGGTGAGGATGATGTGTGGGGTTAAAGTGAAGGATAGGAGGAGTAGTACAGAGCTGATGTCAATGATGGGACTGAATGAGGACATTGTGACATTGATAAGGAGATCGAGATTGCGGTGGTATGGACATGTGTTGAGAAGGGATGAAAGGGTCGGGATTAGGCGAGCGTTGGAGTTCGAGGTTGAAGGAGTGATAGGAAGGGGTCGTCCGCGATTGGGATGGAGAGAGCAGGTGGAGAAGGACAGGGTGAAAGCGGGGTTGCGTGATACTGAGGCGAGTGACAGATGTGGATGGAGTCGAGGGGTATTTCGGTTTCATCATAGGTAGCCAAACGGCAACCCCCGATCTCGGGGAAAATGCCGTCTAAACGTGTGTTGTTGTTGTTGTTGTTAACAGTAAATTAAAATACAGTCTTCTAAATTGATGAATGATAATTCACCATCAAAAGCATCATCATCAATAAAACATAACCAACATCGCCTGTCATCATAATCATCATTATTCCTATCATCATTATTCCCATCATCATCACCATTGTGACACCTTGTATTTTTCATTGAGAAGAGTGATTGGCAGTTTGGTCTGCTTGAGCACAACTTGGTAGGGATTAGACATGACCTTCTTCATTTCAGTTTGAAAGTTTTGCAGAGCATTCTGCGTGATGACTCTTGTGTTCCCTTGTTGGTTAAGTTTAAAAGTGAATTATTTAAAATGATAACAAAAAATTATTAACTCTAGTACAATGAAAATAACCAAATACTTTAGCTGAATGATTAACATTAATGTCAAACTTTAAAATTTTTGATAATTCCAATTTAAGCCTCTACACAACTCACCAAACCACTTTCTGTTTGGTTCAATGCGAGCAGAAGTACCAGGAGCAAGACGAGATTGAAATGGGGCACTTTTTATTATTTTACCAGAGGAATTCCTTTAATGGAGCAAACAAATTTTTTTTAAATCACCATGTAATAACTTTATAAATATATCAGATAGGATATTTTCCAAATTGATGTACCCAAATTCTTATTTCTCAATAAATAGAAATCAATATTTATTTCTAATTCTAACATTAGTAGTAAGTAAATTAGGAATTCTTAATGACCTAATACCTAATCCAATGACAAAGTGTAATGGCTCTTTAAAATTCAATGATAAATTTTATTAACTACTTCATTAATTTAAATGATTCAAATACCTAATTGGCTTGAAATTCCTGTACATCTGCAGTCGCTTGATCGTTGACTTATCTCTTAGATTTCCTCCACCCCCTTCCGACTGTTTTTTTGCTTTTCGGTCTGGTGGGGCAGTTTTAGTTTTAAATATTAGTAGCAGAAGTATAAAAGATACAACTGTAAAAAGGAGGGTAGGCCAGACTGTCGAAGACATTTTTATTATTATTATAGTTTTAATTTAATTAAACAGAAATTTTACAATACAAATACAGAATACATTTTTAATAATTATAATATAATAACGATCACACAATTTACCTGGGTTCATACTGTGGTAGGATTTATTAATCTTATTAGTTATCTTTCCTTTCCCCCCTGATTTTCTTGCCATTTTATTTTTGTTGTTGATTTTCAGATAAGTAATAACTTTAATAATATTTTACTTTAGTAACTTTAAGTCTTCGACCACGGCAAAATATACAAAAATAAAAATTGGCATCCAAACAATCGATCCTAAAAAAATTAAACATAGACAACTTATTGACAAACTGGCAGGCTACGATAGCGTGTTCGCCATCGTTAACGTTTACGTACGTAAGGAAAGTTAAGCAAATTTTTTTATAAACTAAAATTGAATTCCATCATAATTTTAAGTATTGACCATAGACCTTCAAGGTTAGAATCATATATATAAGAATAATGGTATGGACGTTATATTACGGACAATTGATAATTTTTTAACCAGTTAGTTATAATTATAAATGCATATACGTTATTTTTATATCCAACCAAACTCTATACCAATCATCTGTCAGTCTATGCATATCTATCCACAAACATATATAGGCATACATGCACACACACAAGCATATATATATATATATGCTACATATTTGTGTGTATGTATACGTATATATATTTGGTATTTGGAGATAGATATTTATCTGTATAGATATCTATGAGCATATATTATATATATATATATATATATATATATATATATATATATATATATATATATATATATATATATTGGTAATAGACCATAATTTTTACAATATTCTATAAATTCTACGGTTCGTAACGAACTACAAACATATTAACGCCAAACATTCGGTAGAATTGATAGAATATTGTAAAAATATATATATATATATATATATATATACAAACACTTAAATGGAAGCGATTTTATGAAAACAGACTATAAACACAAAGCACAAATCAATTTGTGGCTTACAAATTTAAATTTAAAATAAAAACATCAAATACGTAATTGCAACTATATCCAAGCAATCTAGATAAATATGAAGGCTTATTTAAACCATTTTTAAAATACAACTAAAGTGGCGTAAAAGCAAATACGAAGAATGGAACCAACGACACCTTGCACGCAATAAACGAATCTTGAATAAAAATACACCAGGTAAAGGGTAATTGCAACCCCGCAAACATCAAAATTTGAAATATAGTTTTTCACGACATTGTAAATAACAAATTAAAGAATACATTTTCAATTAACTCACCACAAAAAGTCAAACAATGTAAAATAAAAAAAATCGTTTCAGGTCTATGATAAAACAATAAAAATCATATTGTACTATATATAAAAGTTTGCTGATTAGATAAACGTTATAGTTCCATTTGTTGCGTCTCATCCTCCGAAAAATCACTAAGGGAGCTTTCACTGGATGACTGGACGTTTTCTTGTTCACGAAGCGCTGCTTCTGTTGCATACTTCTGAACATATTCTTCCAATTTTTAAAAAACGGTATCAATTGTCAATAACAATTTTTCTAAAAACTCTCATGTGCTTTCACATAGTACAAATAGAACATACGCAAATTATTATGTAAAACTTTTTTAGTCCCAAAAATATCATAAAAAAATAAAAAAAAGACCTTGAACTTTTTTGTTGTAATCTTCCGGCCGATGCAGGTAAAGAGCTGCAGCACTCCCATTCAACGGATCAGTTGGATTAGGATATGTGAGCAGCTGGGGTAAGAAAGACTCAAAAATGTTTGAAAGATCTGTCACAGAATACAAAAAATTTATTGAAAATGAAAATATTTTCTAAAAAATACTTTTGTTGTAAGAACATGATTATACATTAACAATTGTGAAATTTGCACTAGTCTCTCAAAGAGAAGTCATTAAAACTCATGCATTAAACAATAGATTTCATGTTATACCCAGGGAAATAATCAATCAATGTTCATTGAAAAGACTGTGGATTGGAAATTGAAGGGAAAAGAACCAGCGGCAATGGAAAACTCAAGCATGGTCCCTGATGAGACAGACTGTACAGCAAGATTCAATTACTTTCAACCAATGATATCTATTCAACCCATGATTTTATATTGATTTATTTATCTATGCAGAACATTATATTTCAAATTAATACCATAGAGAGCTGTCCATGCCTGATTTATAACATCCAAACAGACAGTACCTGACCTGGAATGGAAATGAATCAATGTCAAAAATATAAAATAGGTTTAAAGTGAAAGAAACCAAATATCAGTAAACCATACTTTACTTACACTTCATCAACGTTTGGATGAAATATTCTATTCATGAACCCTGAATCCGAAATAAAAAATTATTTTACAATTAATAATAATAATACAACCAGGTTTCTTAATCTATTCATCCAAATTTCTACTGGTTCAAAAATGAATGAAACTAAACAACATTAGAAATAACCAATTGATGGAGACTTGAAGGGATATCTCTCTGGCAGATCAACTCTCACCTTCCAGACACCACCTTCGTAAGGAGCTTTTAAAAAATATAAAAAAGAATATAAAACCATATAATAAGAAAATAATATTACATCTTCTTATGCCACAGCTATTATTTTAATTTATTTGATAAAATTTCCCTTAAAAATCTCATTCTCTAAAATACATTAAAACTTTAAAAGCATTTTCATTAATAAATTTTGTTTTATTTTATTTTAGAGAACTATTAAAATTAAAAAAAAAATTAAATGAAAACGTACTTCCAGTAGGCCCATAGAACTTGACCACAAATTCATGGAGCCCACCCAGTAACGTAACTTCGTGCTTGCTCTCAATTCTATTTTAATTTACGTCATACCATAATTCAGGTATTTACCATGGAAGAGAAAGAAAACACATCAGGAGTTGAGGATTTTTTTTACAATTAATTATACATTGAATTACAAGTGAATTACAGTGAATGAAAAAACAGTTTATGAAAAAACACCTATGTAATACGTTAAACACTACAATAGACTTAGACAATTTTATAAATGAAAATTTAAAAAAAATTTAACTTCATTACTAATATTGTTTGATAAAAAAAACTGAAACAAAAGAATATTCCCTTGAAAAATCCATTTAAACTTTAAAAGAACCTAAAACTAAGACTAAAAAGGATACAATTTGACGACGTCCGTGTCCATACGACGTTTCCCAGGGCTCGGAGAAGACATTTTCGTTGGGGGCAATAGGTATTAAATTCAATTAAGCGAGGAGATTAGGAAAAATGTAGCAGATATTCACACAAAATTCAGGCTCTATTAAAACTGCGTCAGAGGTCAGCTGTGTTTATTTCACATCAAATTTTAACAACCAATGATATTGCTCCATATTAGGTCAACAAAATTCGCATTTTTTCCAATTAAATATTAATAAATTGAATAATGAAATAAAATAAATTGAAATATTACATTAAAAGTTTGCAAATTAATGAATAAATATTTAATTACGAAAAATATCTTTTCATATGTAATTATTTTTCATGTTTTTTCAACCATCAGTACCAGGTAGTCATGGAATTATATAATTCAATGGGTAGAGTCTTTCATAAACGAGCTATCATTGAATTTTTAATTACAAAATGTGATTAATTGAATAAAACGTTTGAAGGAACGGGCATGAATCACACTTATCCATTATTCATCATGATAAGATATTTGTCGGTTCATCGCCAATGATCTCATTTCACGATATGCTGTGCGTGTGCAACTCGCCTGTGTTGGTGCGTGGGACTTACGTGAATACCCCTGGTATAGGTGTAGTTAGTTGGTTTGACAAATATCCTTAGTTAAGTGTTCAAGTATATTTTATTTGATACTTTTTCGCCACTTTGTTAGTTAAACTACAGTTTTACTGCTCTACAAATAACAAATAAACTTGTGTTATTTGTTCTTAAAGAAGAAGTTCTGACGAGAGCCGAGGCTCACAGATGAATTGTTCAGTTACCTGTTAGTCACTAAGGCCACACCACGTTATGTTCGAATACATATTTGAACATTCTACTTGACAGCGCCACATTGTACACACGAGACACGAAATATTTTTTATCTTATTTATTCGTTCGCCAAACAAGCGGGAGACCGTAACGAGCTATAACTAGCTCAACAAGTACTGCCACTCTAAAATAAAATGTAAAATATGAAGTGAAGTATAAGACATACTTTGAATTTAGGAGACAGAATTGAAATCGAATGAGCGTAAAATAGCAACTAGTTGCTGCTAGCTATTAGCCAGCCTTGAAATGGATTTAGAACCAATGTTAAATTTGGTTATAAATTTTTAAAAAATAAAAATAATGATATTTGGATCACATGTAGAAAAGTTGGTAAACACAATGAGCTAGCTAGCTTTGATGTTGCCGTCATTAATATTATATTAAAATTAGACTCTAAAAAAATTCTCCTGTGCATCGTCAATTTTTCGTTGATTGTCGAATGTGCTTAATTTGAATGAGTCACATTTTGTCTCTGAAATAGTTTTATTTCTCATAACATAAAATGAAAATCATAAAGACGTTTTATTAAATGAATGCAAGCTATAAGAATGCGTCAAGTTCTGAAGCAACATTTAATAATAACCACCTATAAGTAGAGTGAAATGTGTTAAAAGGATTTAAAATACGTAAGATAAAATAATTAATGTCACATCAATTTTTGTTAAATTAAAAAATATAAATTCAAAATAAAACGTAACATAGCATAAATTTTATTAAACTGGCGGCCATGTTACATTAAATTGCGTCACGTCTTATAACGTTACATCAGACTAAAGCAAATTATACTTGATCCTAAAACAACTATTTCACATATGAAGTTTATTTTTTAAATTAAAAACTGTTGGCCGTTCTTATAATATTAGTAAATGTGGTTCTAATTAAATCTATAGCATTAAATTTTGGGAGGAGTGTAGGTTTTTACGTTGATTTTTCTGCCGTGTTCAATCTTTTGTGTTCATTATTTTCTACGTAAAAGCATTGAAATTTCGTTTAGACATCTTTATAACTTTTGTTGTCTAACAATAATGTCGTTGTGTTAGTTAGCCTCTTATAATAAATATAAAAAGAATATAAAAAGCATTTTACAAACACAAAATATCAAATATTAATTTAATTTTTTAACACGTTATAAAAAAATTATCATCGTATTTTGTATCTTCCAAGTTTCAGCCATTTAGGTCGGTAAGAAGATTTAAGATCAGTTACAAATAAGGCCATGGTTGACATTCCTTCCTTGGCAAAAAACGATAACCAAGATAACAATTGACAGGGAGTTGAAGACGAACGTAGCACTTGTAGAGCAAATACAATAAATAAGTAAATAAACGAATGTCATGAATAAATGAGCTAACTTTAAAACAATTAAAGACTACAATGTAAAAAAGACTTCAGATAATATTTTGTACATATAATGTTGCGAATGATGGCACGATTATTTGCACGGCACGATTATTTGTAAAAACGTCTGAAACGTTTGATGATTTTTAAAGGTTTGGTTCGAAAACCCCAAAACATACGGAGTGATGTAGCTAATCATTAGTAATCATCACCATCCTCTTCATCACCATCATCGTCACCATCAATATCATCATCATCCTAAAAGTTGTAAACCAATATTTTCATGGTGCTAATGTCTTGACTATCGTTGATGAAATTAGTGTTCCCTTGTGGCAGTTTCATATTATGCCAGTTTTTGGAATTTCCTTGGTGTTAGCAACAAATAAGTATTACACATTAGGATTAGTGAGTCATTTATTGGGAACAGTTTTTAAGGTTAAATTGTCATGGGAAAATAAATCAAAAACGCCGTACCGGATGGAGAGTCTGTAGTTTTCAAGTTGAAAGCCCACGAGGACGGGTCGACAGTTGGATTATGTGGAAGGTACATCTCTATCGGCTCTAGGAAATGCAAACCTTGCGGCCCACACATCACTAGAGGACTTAGAAGAGTTTCACCTAAAAATAAAAGAAAAAACATTCTCCAATATTTCTAGTTCTATCATTTGTTTTTTTATTTCGTCATTGTCTGCGTGATCACGATATCATCAAGTTATCAGTTTCAAAATAATTAACTTCAGTCACCTTTTTCTTTATCTAATGGGGGCATTTTCCTTTCATCTCTGCATACCTTGAAGAAGATCTCTTGATCCACACCAGGTGGCAGGGCGCCCTTCGGTATCACCAGCTTCACACCTTACAAATTCGATCGCATGTACAATTTTACATGTAGTTATTATACACACAAGTGTTTTTCTCTATGTGTGTGTTTGAATATGATGGTATTTACGTAAATCAATTAGGGAGGTATTAATTCAATAAGTATTAAACTTAATGTTATTAGTTTATTAGTAGATATGTATGGCAAGGTTTTGTGCTGAGCTTGAGCAAAGAGTAGGCAAGCTAATGAAGCCACAATCACAAGTTATAATATAAAATGCAATCGTGCACATGTCAGGCTTCCTTCCACTACTGCTCCGGTCAAATTTGTGTTTGTAAATTCGACTAAATGCGGCTCTGGCCAGATTTAAAAGTCCAATCCGATACAGCCCTAGTAGCTATATATCTCGGATTGAATTTTTTTTATTTGAAAAAGGTTTTTTTTTTGAAATACAAGTTTTTTATTTGTTTGGTCGTTAGAGTTCTCTTCGTTTTTTTGGCATTTGAGATGAAAGTGTCAACACTTAACTTGAACTATAGTATTTGTACTTGTATTGAACTTGAGGTGTAGGTACTTGTACGTGGAAAAATTTAATTTTCAGTACTTGTACTTAAGACCCGAGTACTTTTATTTGTACTTGCAAGAAAGTACTTGAAAACATCTATGGCTAGAATTTTGTAACATAAGCGTATCATATCAACATTTATAAAATTTTGTTAGTTTAATTACAAAATTTTCATAAACGTTGAATTTTTTATTCATTCAACTCATCCACTCATCCATCCAACCAACCAGTCTCCTTTGAATCCAGTATTCCACCATTGCAGTTGAACACTCCTCTAGCTTGTGCAATGATTGCACTCATGTTATTCCGGTTGTCGTTGCCATCAATGTTTCCGTTGTTGTTGACGTTTGCAACGGTGTTGTTGTTGTTGTTGATGTTTGCAAAGGTGTTGCTGTTATTGTTGTAAATGTCATTTCTGTAAACTCTGTTCCTGAAGGAATAATCGATAAAATGAATATTTTGGTGAAAAAAGGTGAAACAACGTCGTCATTATTGTCGTTTCATTCCACTCTAGTTGGCAAACGTCTTGTATTTCAAACCAATACAAAATTTGATGTCTCACTTGGTTGTCGAGACATCAACCGTGTCAATAGTTCTGCAAATGTTGCTGCTGGCGTTGTTGTTGTTGTTGTTGATGTCACATCCAATGCTACCGGCACTCTTGATTGATTTACTTTTCATAATACTGCTGTAATTGATGTTGTCGTTGTTAATGTTGGCATAGTTTTTATCTTTTTCGTCGATATTGCAGTTGGTGAAATAAATGTTGAGGCGGTTGTCGTCATCATTAAATTTGGACAGGCTTTGTGTACGAAACTTTTTTTGAGGAGAGTGTTGCTGCTGCGTTTGTTGCCGTTGTTGTACCTGGTGTGGTTGCAGTTGCAGTTGTTGCTGTCGTTGCTGGTCGATGGATGGAGACCAAATTTGATATATTGTTGCATTATTTGTTGTTTGGGCAACGTTCGTTGAGAGAGAGCGTTGGTGCAAGTTGCTCTTCAACAATACTCTGCCGCTCATTCTTCAAGTTTTAAAAAGAATGTTTCAATCAGAATCTAGTTAAAGTTCTGTAACTCAATTTCGTATTCAATGTTTTATACAAACACAAAAACGACCAACCCATCATTATCATCACGAGTTCGATCCTCTAGTTCATCGATGGTTGACATCTCAGTTGCTGTCGGCACCTCATGGCAGGACTTCCTGGCGGCTGAGTTTCTTCCAAGCACTCTGCATTTTTGAACGTTCCTCTATGAGCTGTTATCAATTTTTTAACTTACCACAACAATTTTCAACAAGCAAACCTGGTCGGTTTATCCAGAGTTTGAGAGAATTGAGGTTGATGATGTTGTTGGTAATGTTGTTGTCGTTGCTGTTGTGGTGGTTGCGATTGGTGCTGTTGCTGACGATGTTGCTGGTAAAGTGTCAGCTGATTAACTGGAAGAATATTTTTTTGTGTTTGTGAGCTTTGGTTAGAAACAGGGGAGAACTGTTGAGGTGAGAAAGAGGTCATTCGTTGTCCAAGTGCACTGGGATGTGACTGCTGCCGTTGTTGTGGTGCTGGTTGATCCTGTAGTTGTTGCTGTTGTTTTTGTTGTTGTTTCAAAATTTGTTGTCGAGGCATGAGGATTGGATGTGGTTGGGTCGTTGCGTACGATGGCCCAGAGGATGCACGTGTTGCAACTTTGCTGCTTGTTCCATAAACGACAACATTTTGTTGTTGATGTTGTTGTCTTGGAAGATGCTGCTGTTGCATGGAATCAAACTGCTTCGAATGAATCGGAGACGAAAGCCATCGTGAGTGGTGGCATCCAGACGTCATCAGCTCTCCTGCCAATGAGGTACCAAATTATATTACTTTTAAAAATATTATAATGATCCTATGTCTACTATGTCTAGAAGATAACATATATCAATCACAAGAATGAGTTATGTTGAAATCAATAATATAATGAGAAAAAGCGGCAGTGCCAAACCGTAGTCAATTTACAGTTAGATTTTGTTATTGTTAGATTTTGTTATTGTTAGATTTTGTTACCCACCATCGGCTGTGTAGTTAGTCTTTCTTCGACCAAGCGTGTTGCTCCCATGAAAGTTTTCGCAGTCGTCATTGGCCAGGATGTTGTTTCGACTGTTTTTCTCGTTCAGGATGGCGGAGTAGCTAGGAAGATATCGAATGATTTGAGAGGACTTGAGAATGTTGGGATCCGATGACGACCTGGACAATGTTGTTGAAGAGGCGTTCACGTTTGTCAACGTTGCTGCTGTTGCTGCCGTTGTCGTTGTTAAATACAATGGTGATGTTACTGCATCGGCCACCGCTTCTCCATTTGTTTTCCACATTGGAGCTGTTGATGGGTAGAGCTTGCTACTGCCCTCCAGCTTTACCTGCATTTAAAAATTGGCAACCTTCGTATTAAAATTAGTAGCCTGCGTATAAATGCTTAGCAAGCACATCGTCACATTCACCAACACAGACATAATACGAACGAAAAAAAACATCATTGTCTGCGTCGTCGCGAAGCCATCGTGTAAGAAACAAGCATCTAAAAGAGTGACGTACCTTTTTTTCGTTCACCCAAGTTTTACTGCGTTGTAAATGGGCGATTTTTTGACCCAATTTGTAAATCAGGTCATCATTTAAATTAGTGGTGTAGTTGTTGGTTGTGAATTCATCGCTGTTTGTCTGCAGCACGTCTAAAAATTAAGTTAACAATTCTGTAACTGCGGAGTTACATTAATAAATTATATTGGTCATGAGAAAGATTTCTTCTAGAAAATATTTTTATTTTTTATTTTTATTTGGTATTATAAGGTTTAGCCTCTATATCACCTCATAAATAACTGTCTATCGACTAAGACTATCAAATAACCAACAACTTACAATCAATTAATCAATCAATCAACCGACCAATCAACCAACCAATCAACCAATCAGCCAACCAACCAATCAACTAACAGTTAAAAAGATGTCCATACTCTACTTCAAACTCTACAAACTGATCGTACATTTTCTTGTAGGGCTTGTTCGGCAGCAATCCCCACGACGAAGCCAGCGACAAAAACGCCGACGACGACGACGATGAAAGTAACGTGTTTGAAGGTGGCGGCTTCTCTTGCAACAGTGACATAACCTCTTTGACAGACTGCTTGCTGTCGAACTTGATGTAGACAACGATGGGGATGATGTCCGAACGTAGCAGGCGATCCATTGAGTGAATGTCAAGGTTGCTTATTAGAGCGTGTTTTTCCTGGCGGTGTCGGTTTCAGTTTCAGTTTCAATTATATTTTTAATTTTGTAATAACCATACATATAATAATTTATTATTTATTAAAATATTGATTAAAAATATTAAATAACAATACGGAAAATAATAAATTCAGCAAAACAAAACTTATCAATAAAAATAAATAATTGAAATCAACCTTCTTTATACAAGCGTACAGTTGCTTTAGTTTTATGTACTTTTTTTTCATTCCTTTGTTCTCCCCATCATTTTTATCGTCATCATCATCACCACCACCACTGACGTCATACTCTGTAAAAATAATTTCATAATAATAATATTGAAAAAACGACTGTATAATAATAATTAATAAAACAGAATTAAATTTATGAATAATTAATAAATAGAACTTATTAATAATTTATGAATAATTAATTTAAAAGATACTACCTAAGGCATGAAAATGATCGGGTGCTGATAGTTGCAAACCTCTACTGACCAGGTTTGATAGCGGGCCGTAGACGACCACTGGCCTTTTGTAGCTCACTGATTCGTGATCATTAGTGATGATAACAATATTATAAATAATAATAATAATAATAACAGTAATAATTATAATAATAGTATTCATTTTAATTTGTAGAAATTGAAATAAAGTACCGTGTTTGAAAATTATTCTGTCGTAAGCTGTCTCTTGGATGGTTGCTAGGAATCGGTTTTTAATATATTATTACGATTATTAACCAACCAACTAATCAATCAACCAATCATTCATCAAACCATTCAATTAACCAACCAATCAGCCAACCAATCAATCATCAAACCATTCAACTAACCAACCAACTAACCAATCAATCACCCAACTAATCAATCATCAAACCATTCAATTAACTAACCAACCAATCAACTAATCATTCATCAAAACAATCAACTAACTGACCTCTACTACTGGAAAAGATTCCAGGTTTTGATTTCTTCCTAAACAAAGTGGCAGCATTCTCGATCCTCTTCAAAATGTCGTTCGAACTTACGGACTTTGACAGTGAAATTTGTTCAGCCCTGCAAACAAACTAGTTGTTAGTTTGAAATGTTTAACTGTATTGGCTGGACACAAAACCAATCATACTTTGATCTTATCATTCTGTATAACTTATGGCCAATAAAAAGCGGCCAATCACTGCTCGACAACCAATCAAACGCATCAATAATAAACTGACCACGTGACCAATTGACCAACCAACCAGCCAACCTCGTGACCAATCAACCACGTGACCGACCAACCTGTTGAGATTTGGAATAATTCCTTTTCTTTTCTTATACTTCATTTCAGCACTCATCAAATCATTAGCATTTTTATTTTTAACTAATTCATTACTATTTTTATCATCTTTGGTGACATCTGACGTAATTAAGTTATTTTTAGAAATTCTGTTGACCTTCCATGACCCTATGATGCCCATGTGGAGGGTGTCCGTGACCTGGAAAAGTTCACCCCTGTGGAAGTTCAACTCGTTGGCCTCTGACGTCACGTGCTCGAAATTTGTCCTGTTCAAAAATGGACGGAGATAAAAATATTAATTGATGAATGAATGTAAGAGTAAATGAATGAAGGAATAAATTAATGAATGAATAAACGAATGAACGACTAGATGGATGAATGATGAAATGAATCCAACACAAAAAATTGTTTTGTTGTGTTTATGAATTGTTTTAGTAAATGTAGCAATCCATCACCCTTAAATCAGCAGACGACAAAACAAAAATAAAGTGAACGTTTGATAGGGAGTGGAAGGTATGTTAAAATGCAACAACTAATTGAATGAATGGACCTTATGTAGAACAAGTCCCCCGTTCCAGTGCCACCCGTCTCAAACAACATCCTCTCGTAATCTGTTCACACAATTTTATAGAGAGTATGTGAAAGTTAATTTTATATTTTTTTCGGAAAGAAAAAAGAATAAGTTCGTTTATACAATGTCTAAATTTTTATTTTAGTTTGCGCGAACATAACAAACAATTGAAGGGGTATTTGTGAAACAAAATGCCTAAAAGTTAAAACACTTCTTTAATAAAACCAATGAACCATTTAAAAAAGGATAATAAAAATGTGCTTACCAGTCTTCGAGTGCTGGAGTAGCAGTGCCGCCTGCTGTGAAACGCCCAGCAACGTCAAGACAGACTCCTCCTTCGTCTTGCCAAACATTTCCACACCATCCACCTAACCCAACGTAAGTGAGTATGCAGGCTTATTTATAAATTGATGATGGTGGTAGATGGATGGACAAACTCAGGAAAAATATTTAAATGAATGTACCGTACCGTGAGTAACGAATGAAGTTAGTTATGATAAAAAATTGTAAGAATGATGAATAAAATATTAGTTGAACAAAGAAAACACATTCAATGAATGAATGTGAAATAAAAGCTCAAAAAAATAATCTTATCTCTTAATCAAGCACTCAATAAAATTACCAATCAGCCATTCAAGCAACCATCCAGCCAACCAACCAGTCAGCCAACCAACGAACCAACCAGTCAGCCAACCAACCAAACAACCAGCCAAACAACCAAACAACCAGCCAAACAACCAACTAAATAACCAACCAACCTTCAAGACCATGTCCCCTTCAAAGACCCCCAATTTGTGGGCCGATGAGTCCGGGGTGACCTTTGAAATAAAAATCCCAGTTATGTTGCCGCCCATGATTTTCAGACCAAGACCTCCACCAAGATCTGGCGGCAACCTGCTTATGCACACCTCCCTAGGTTCACTTCTGTCGGTTATTTTGTTCCAGGAATGTGATTTTTTTTTACAATTTTCTGTATAACATTCCCAAAAGATATCAACAACATCCGCGAATCAACGCATCACATACATTGTACGTGATCAGCTGGGATCTATATGCATTCAAACCTGGTCACTGCAACAGCAGGGCTAGGAGTCTTAAGCATCATATCATCGTGTCTAGTGTTATTTTAGAAATTCCAACTCTACTAACGTGATGTTAACAATGTTAGGAAGATTTTGTTGTGGTTGTTGTTGTTTATACGGCTGATGTGGTGGTCGTTGTTGCGGTCGTTGAAGTTGCGGCTGTTGCTGCATAGGTGAGAGTAACTCCAAAGATGGTAAGGGAGAGAAGCATGGGTTGACATCTTTGAGGGTGGTGAAAAAAAATTGATGATGACTTCAATGGTGACGATGAACAATAAAATCCCAATGCAAATAATGATGGTGATGTTTATGATGATAAAAATATTGTTAATGATTGAATCCATAATATAACTACTTTGATCGCTACTAACTTTCTGAAGCGATCCGTGGTCTCTCAATTATTTTCATTTCTTTGTTAACTGTATGACGAATAATTCGATCAAAATTTTCACTCTCATTTGCCATTTTTTCAAACTTTTTCCTAACATTTCATGTCATTATTAAACCACATTCGCATCTCTCTATATTTGTTAGAAAATTTATCTGCAAGATTAACATTCTTGACATTATTACCATACTTATATTACTATCGTTACCATCATCATCATCCTCATCATCATCCCCATCATCATCACCATCACCATCGTCATCCACATCACCTCTAAAGATCTTGGTTGGTGGTTTGTTGATGGTGATGTTCATCTTCTCCTTGCACTTCTCCATCATTTTGGTGGCTTCCAGCAGAGACAGACCTTCAACTGGTGTGTTCTGGATCTTAAATAATTTTGATGTCATTTAAAGTTTATTTCTAAATTAAGGTACTTAAATTATATAGGCTTGCTTTATATAAGCTCGTATAATCTGTATGTATACGAACTATACAGCTTATATATGTTTTATATAATGATAATAAAATAATAATAATAATAATAACAATAATGGCCATCATCATCCTCATCACCTTCAAAACTTCATCACCGACTCGTACGTTTCCATCTTTTTGTGCCAAACTTGCCGGCCTGATTTCTTTTACGAAGAACTTGCAACCCAATGTCAGGCCAATGTCTGTGGAAATGTGTGTGTGTGTGTGTGTGTGCGCGTTTGTATGTGTATGTGTGTGTGTGAGAGAGAGAGAGAGAAAGAGAGTGTGTGGTGTGTGTGTGTGTGTGTGTGTGTGTGTGTGTGTGTGTGTGTGCGCGTATGTTTTATAACGCGGAAACACGTATGAATTTCTATTGTATTTGAATAAATGTTATTGTTGATACTAGTACTGAATTTTAAGTATTATTAATGTTTGACGCACTTTAATCCATCATCACAGTTTGGGAAGAATTTTACAGTTTTAAAAGTGCAGAAATATTTGTATGGTCATTAGTTATGGACAGGTTCATATTTTTTTATGACATTTAAAGACAATACATTGTGGAATGTAACAGCAGACAACTTAGGGAAAAATATTTTAAGATATCAGTTGTTCACATGACTGTTCAGTCAGTCATCCAATCATTCAGTGGTTCATTCGTTCATTCATCCAATCATTCAGTGGTTCATTCATTCATTCATTCATTCATTATTCATTCATTCATCCATCCATCCATTCATTCATTCATTCATTTGTTTGTTAATTCATTTGTGCATTTGGGTCATCGATCAATTGTGTTTGCTTGTATAAGTTTTTATTAGCAGAACCCAGCTATTCTTATCTACTGTTCTATATTCTTAAACGGTATCTCTTACATATCCGAAATGTTACTTGTACTATAGTGTATAAAAATGAGAATCTCATTCCTACACGAGTTGATTTTGTGTAAAAAAAATGTACACAATGCTTATCATATCATAAAATATCATGCATACAATGTTTATCATTTGTATTGTATATCCAATGTGTGAGCGTATCGTTTGTATCAGAGCTATTTATGTGCGAATGATAATAACGACGGTGCACACATGTGTTGTCGATTTTAAACATCATAATGACCGATCGGAATGAGTTATTGCATTGAAATGGCAGATCCACACAATGATTCTGTTTTATTTTTATTATTATTTTATTATTGTTATTATTATTATTGTTAGCAGTAGTACATGAGTGGTAATGATAGTAGCAGTAGTAATAAAAGTAGCAGCAGCAAAAAGAAATAAAGTATCGAATAATAATCAATCATATGCAATTCAACAAGTAAAATAGTGCAAATTTGACAAACTGGTAATAAATTTAACGAATGAAAAAGTGAATCAATAAGTGAATTATTAAAGGAATGAACAAATGAGTGAATGAATGAATGAATAAATGATTGATGGATAGATGGATGGATTACTACAATAAATAGCGATTTGATTTTCAACTATGCATATGAAGAGAACCAAACTGCCAGCAAGCAACACGATACATCCAGCACACTGACAAATGATTTCAACAGACGAGCCCACTTACAACATAAACGCACATATACATACAAATACGCTCACACACACATACATACATTCATACAAACATCAACACATATTTAGTTAAACATGCCACCAATACGTCTCAACAAAATACTTCACCGACTTAACTTAAAAGTTGTACTAGTAAATAACACTGATGTTGTATGCATGAACACACACATATACACACAGACAAGCACACAAACAAATACACACACACACAAAATGTATACTAAACACACACAAACACATTATGAGATAAGCACACGCGCGCACAAATGTATGCACAAGTTAGCGTTTATTGCGTAAAAAAGGACGATATGATGATTTGATATAGAACAGGAGTAACAAATGGCAAACATACACGTACACAAATACAAAAATATTTTATATAACAGTAAGCACACGTGCACACATGAACACACACACGAACACACACACACACACTGTATGTTAATAATATATAAAAATAAGTTCACACATACATTGTATAAAACATAATTCCGTATAAAACAAAGAACATAGATACATCACACAAGCAACACACACGAACAAACACACATACACACACACACATACAAACAAACACATACATACCATTCACATATATGCACAGTTATAAATATTTGCACGCAACATCGATGAGTTTCGCGTGTTCATTCTTTTGTATGTGTATATTTACACATATTTCTCTTGCGTGTGCGTCATGTGTATGTTTAAGTTCATGTAGGCGTGTGTGTGTGTGTGCGTGTATGACTGTGTGAGTGCGTATGACTGTGCGTGTGCGTATGCGTGCGTGTATATAAGAATTTGAAAAGAGACCGGATTGAAAGCACCGCACCACATGTTTGAAGAACAAGGACGAATGCATAAACGTCGTTTGTGAGTTCTGTGCCATTGAATGATTGACACACTATATTATAACATTATTTTATATTCACAGTCAATATATTTCAAAAAATTTTATAATATAATAATCTAATTATATCTGAAAGTTAAATTAATCTAAAAAATACATGTGTGTGCATGCGTGTGTGTGCGTGCATGTGTGAGTCACCTATTTTTTAAACACGCACACTTAACGCAACACAATCACACACACACACACACACACACACATACACAAGAAT